GCACAATGGCGGCCGCCAGCGCTGCTCCTCCACTTCCGCCTGGGGTCTCCGTCCCCCGCCCCGCCCCGCCACATAATGAAATGCCCCGAGAAACGCTGCGGTCGCTGCCTCCCCGGGGCTTCGCGCCGCGCCGCGGCGCTCCACTCCACTCCCTTCCACTCCACTCCGCGGGCGAGGGGCGGCAGGCATTCGGACTAGGGATTCCATCCGCGCGCGCACAAGCTCGCATTCATTTGCAAAGGTAAGCACACACGGTTGAATTGTAAAGTCGGCCGGGGGGGCGGGCAGCTTTCAAAGGTGCCAGACCCCGAGGGGGCGGTGCGGGGCGCGGTGGCGAGCGGAGCCGGCCTACGTTGTCACGTTTCAGCGAGTGGCGCGTCGAAAACGGGCGGGGAAATCCCTTTCTGTAGCGGAGCGCACCTCCGCGCCACGCCCCCTCCCCCTCCGCGCGCCGTGCCTTTAGGCAAATGAATTCTAAAAAGTTCGCCGCGTTCGCCGGACTGTTTGTGCGGGTGTCCCCCTCCCTCGGAACGCGCGGCGTCGGCCTGGATCTAATTCGCGACGCGGCGGCGGAGCGAGGGGAGCGGCGAGCGGGCGGGAGGACGCGCAGACGGGGACGCTTCCGTGAATCGCCTCGCAGCGCGCCCTGCGGACTTTCCGTGCAGTTGATGGAGCGTAAAAAGTTGAGGGTTGGTGGGAGCAGTATTTACAGAAGCTTGTAAGGAACGTGTGTTCCATCATTTCGTAGTTTTTCAAGATACGGAGTACTTCGTTACTTTCAAGTTTTAGATCACGACGACTTTCGTTTATCCGTTGTTGTTGTTTTTATCCTCAGAGTGGTTTTGTAAGAACCTAATTATTAAATCGCCTAAAATATTTCGATTTATTTTCATTTCTGCTTCATTAATTCTTTGTTATGATTTGAAAAGTTTGTATCAACAACAATGCATTTAACGATGATTTGATGCGCCGTAGAGTCCGAGGGCTCTGGACTTGCCTCATTAAAGTCTTGCTTGAGGTCGCTTCGTCCCGAGCGCGCAGCGGTCGCATTCAGACGAGTGCGAGAGAGAGCGACCGATGCTTAGCGTATTTATCCATTCGTTTATATGTATTTGTTTAATAGCCATGTTTGGGGGCGACGGGCTAATGTAGCGAAAATTGCCCGTGTTGACTAACAATCACGTTCGTAATTAACGACGGCCGGCGGCGGGCTGGCGCGGAGTTGTGTGGACAGGAGCCGGAGCTGGGGAGAGGGGGGGGGGGCGAGCGGCAGTTCGCGGGCGCCAGGCGGCGGCGGTCGGATGCCCGGCGGGCACTCCGCCGCGTTTAGTTACCTCGGCCGCCGAGCAAAGTGGAACTTAATGAACACGCCCGAGTTAATTAACATGTCAATGAGTGCGGGACAAATGACGAGGGCAGAGCGCGGGTGGAGGTGGCGGCGGCGGCGGCGCGTTGCGCGAGTGAGTGAGCGCGCGGGCGGGCGGGCCGGCCGCTGAGCCGCCCCCGGGCGCGGGAGCGGCAAAAACCGCCGCCGCCGCCTGACCCCGCGTCTCTCGCCGGTAGCCCTGCACGCACCGCGCCTCCTGCAGCTGCGGGCTGTGCAAGAGCGCGTTGCGCTGCGCTTGGGGGCCGCACCTGCTTCCTATCGCGTTGCGCCAGCGCGGTAAAAAGGACAAAGGAGGAAACGACGAGGCGTGAGCGAGGCAAACTAATCCGGCAGATTAGGTGAAACGTGTCTGCACACAGTGATAATTTGTTCGCGACGAAATATTCCGAACGCGTAGGCGTTGCTTTGAAATAGTTAGCGTTCATGGATTAATTGAAAGTGTTGTAGAGAACTTCTATTTCGCTTACTTCGGCTGCGCACCAACTCAACCGACCGCTATCAAAAATAGTTTTTTTGAATTTATTTTTGAACGTTAAAAAAAAGTTGAATTACTTTTAAAATGCTGTAGTGGTCGAATTGGTTGGTATTAAACGTTCGAAACACTTTGTGTGGAAGAAATTGCAGGCTGACGTTCGTGATAGCTTAAGTCAAGACAATTCCAGATTCAAAGTACTTTATTTCTTATTTACGAGCCATTAATTTTAAAAAAACGTTCAACATATTACAAAACTACGGCGCTATGCAGAAGTATTTGAATGTGATACTTCACCCTTTAATTCTAACCTATCAATTCCTCGGAGGTATCACTTGATGCCCTGAACCACCAAAGCTGGCATAAACACTCAAAGCTGTGGCCTCAAGGACAGTTATGTTGGTGCTCACTCTTATTAATAATTAGTTTACGTAAAAACGAGACGGAATGTACTGCAGCTTACTGTGGATATTGAACGAAAAGTTTCAAAACACCATTATTCCATTCCCGTTTCAAAAGAGATATGATCAAATTCACGTCACAGTTATAAAACATTATGTATAATAAGTTTCAGTCCCTGAACAAGCGCTATTGCTTTGTCTTTGTGATAAAAAAAAAGTCGAGAGAATACTCTCATCTTTTAATCACTCTCTTCTACGTCTCGCACTCCATCGCAAAACACATTCGCCTATTTTCCCACTGCCTTCGTCTCGCTTTTCGGCATCTCGGGTGCCTGCCCGTTTAGCTCTTTCCAACTACGGGCCGCTACCCTCGCGCGCGCCGGGCCGCGCCAGGCCGCAGAAAAATCTCATATCCGCCACCGCCGAGACCGCGGGCGACCTTCAGTGGCGACCGGCTCGCCGCGCCGCCCCGCCAGATAGAAAACGACTGTTTTACGAGGCTGCCAACCTCAAGGGCGGGGAGGCTGGCAAAACCCGCCCCGCCAAATCTGCTTTTCTCCGTGAACGCTCTGCTCCCGGAGGACGAGCCGGGCGCCCGGCGGCGGCGGCAGCGGCGACGAGGGTGAGAGAGGCTCAGGAAGGGGAAGGGGCGGGGCAGGATAACATTGAAGTAATGGCCGCGAGGTGAAATTTACAATCCCGTTTCTAGAATCGCGACCTACGCTCCCCGTGCAGTGAGATGAAAAAGAAGACCCTTTGCTTGTGCCTGTCCCCTCCCATCTGACCTTTCATGGAATCGGGCCCTGATGCTGTTTGGGGAATGATGGAATGTGTGGGTTTGTTTGTATAAAATGTGAGAGCGTCAGGTAAACCCTTTTATCGGGACTTGTTTTCATCTTAAAAATGTGCATATTGTGGGACGTACACTTTCGGTTTCTATGCATACCAATATGCTTTACAGAATTCAGAAGGATGTCGGTAGCGGCGGTGGGCAGGAGCAAGGGGAGAAGTTTTGGCTTCACTCCCCATTGGCTAGTGGGTGCCGGTGGCGTTTTCCATACCGGGGATGTGAATTTCGTTACCGGGGAATAGGAGGCACGCCGGGGGGTTGCGAAGCGGACTCAATTTAATATTCGCTTTCTATTTAACGAGGGCCGACGCCACCGGGAGCGGTAGTGGAGACGTAGACGCCAACTCACTCCCCTCCCCCCTCCCCCGCCGGCTTTATATATACAAGGCAGAGGAAGTATCTATTATGTACAGCGTGTGGGAGTGAGCGGGAAGTCGGACGTTCATTTATTTTTAACAATGGCCCGCTGTTGGCGCTCCCCCGCACTCTGCCTCCTCCCCGTCCGTCTCTGCCGGAGGACGAGAGAGAGGAGGTGCGGCGGCGGCGGCGGTGGGAGTTTCGCGGTCTTGTAAATTGATTACAGGGCCGAGCCGTCGCTGACGAATGGGCGCAGTTTAGATAATGGAAGCCCCGGGGCGCGGCGGCGGGGAGATGCTCGGGGCGGTCTGGCGGGAGTCCGGGCGCCATGATAAATGAAATATAAGTCAGCCGGGCCAAACGCGTCGCACTGAAGAGGCAAAAACGAAGGGCTTTTATTTATATTGCTCAGCACCGTCTGGCTTTCGGGAACGGCATGTTTCTAGATGATCATCATAGTCTTAAAAATTGGCCATATTCAAGGCGTCGACAATGAATGACTAAAAATATCAAGTTTTCCCGGGCTGTTTCGATTGCCAACTTATTTTGCAAAAATTATGAAAACCGTGATACCCTCACAGAAATTAATGTTACACACTCAAAACGAATAAAGTTGAATAGCAGTAACTATCAAATATTTCACTAAATACACAAAATTGAGTACCTATGTAATTATAACTGATACAAAGAATTTAATATATATCATATAATATATAATTATAATATTTATAATATTATAATAATAATACGACCAACACACACATACGTTACAATTTATAGGAAATCATTGACATGAAATCTTGTAAGTGTGCTACTGCACTGTAAGGAATAATTTCCCAGCCCTGCAATAATCAGATTTGCATGATATTGTTATTATTTATTAAGGATATTATGTATTGTGGTCATAATAGTGTTGTCAGTGAGGAAAACTATTTAGGGTTTCTTTCAAGTGTACAAAGGAGATGAAAGTCAGAGTATATCAAGATAAAATGGAACATTCATCTATTTTACATTTGTACTAATTGAGCATTTCTGTCTTACGAGAAGTAATGTAACAGCAGATACCATCATGAAGGACAATTCGTGAACATTTATATGGAAATTCTGCCACTTTCTTTCAAAATGATGTTTTAAAAACTGTGCTTTTGTTCTTAATGCATTGAAAGTTTGTCCTAGCCCTTTAGAAAGGAAACAAACTTGGACTTCCCATTTATACACAATTACAGATTAAGTAATTACTATACTCGTACAAATTTAGTATTACTTCATGCTGGCAAAGTATTTTATTTTATTGAGGGAAGGAACAAAACACAAAGACAAGTCAAAAAATAATTATTCTTTCTTGGTTAATTATTATAGTTTATCGAATAAAGGATGACTATTTCTCACAGCTTATGATTCTTTACATAACAAAATTTATGCATATTTTCTTTCATACACTTTACTAATGAAATAGGTATGTGAAAATGGACATTTATCTTTGTAAATTATATTTTGTTTCTCAAATTCTAAAATTGTTTTTCTTATTTACAGAGAAATTCAATCTCCCCTGCAGAAAGAGAGAAATACCGACCTCGTAGTTCACCTGACCCTGAACACAAAAAAATGAAAAAGGAAGAAAAAGACTGCCATGTAAGTATTAGTCTAACAGTTCATGAAATTTAGATCTTTGAGCTAATTTAATTTTTTTTTTAGTTGACTAAATAAATTGTGCTGTTGTGTGAACATAATACACATTTTCACTTAAAGAAAAGAAACAGAGACTTAATACACAATTGAATACAAAAATCCATTAAATGAACTTTGATATGTTTTAAAGAAACAATAATATCAAAACTGGAATACCAATAACCGCAATAAAATCAATAAAGGCAAGTTTCAAGAAACATTTCCTTTATTGATTTTATTCCGTTGTAGGTTTCTATATTACATTGTATATTTTATTAATAAAGTTTCATAAAATACACTGTCAGATCCTTAAACACTAAGCAATCTGAACATTTCTTAACTAATTTTTCCTTTATGTTTTCAGGCAAGCGATGGAGAAAAGAGTGACCAAGACTTAGTTGTTGATGATGCCAGTGAGGTAAGCTTAATCTTCTTTCATTAATATAAATTCTAATTATTATTTAATTATTTAAATTTAATCATTAATTCTAATAGTGTCTAGAATCATATTAATACTAAAGTAGTGAAACTTTTCATAAATATGTACACATACCATCTGTACAATGTAGTTTTGGTTTTGTACAGGATCCTGTATCTCCACCAAATGGAACAGCTTCTCCTAGAGAGAATGGACTGGACAAACTTGCACCAAAGAAAGAGCATATTGGTCCCCACAGGTAATTAATTACTAAAACTGTTAATATGAAAGCAGAAAATTAGTTTCTGCTTTCATTTAACTCTTGAAAGTAGTATCTAGTTTTTCATATTAAGGATACATTTCTCAATGAATGAGATGATTAGTGTAATATCATATGTTTTTGTGATCAACAGTCCAAGAAGTGGAACTTCCTCCAATGCCAGCACACCATCAACAAAAAAATTGGATGGAGAGAAACCTACAACTCCAATTTCCAAATCTGTGACTCCTACCAGTGGAGGTAGTGGCAGCAGTGGAGCAGCTGGAAGCAGCGGCTTGAAACCTTTAGTAAAACCTCCAACTCTTGCACAGTATCCGCATTACCTGCCAGCTGCTCCTCCCGAACTGCAAGCTGGTCCATATGGAGCTCTGAACCACAACTTACCTCCTGCCATCAACTACCCTCGGCCTCCGTTGGTCAGCTACGACCCTCATTCTCAAATGAGAGCACCCCTTGTTCCTGGCGGCATACCTGGAGGAAAACCGTGAGTAATAATTGTTTCCTACGGTATCATTTTCATTTGCTTTATCTCCTCCATTCCCATTTTTATGTGACACTTTGAAATTGTCTTTTATAAACTTACATAAAATAAAATGTTCTTTTATAAACTTATATAAAATTTTTATTTTTCTAAATACATATTTTAATTTTTTCTTTTTCAGAGCTTATTCCTTTCACGTGAGTGCTGATGGACAGATGCAACCTGTTCCTTTCCCCCCTGATGCTCTCATTGGTCCTGGAATTCCCAGACATGCTCGTCAAATCAACACATTAAGCCATGGGGAAGTAGTATGTGCAGTTACCATTAGCAATCCTACAAAATATGTGTACACTGGTGGAAAAGGATGTGTCAAAGTTTGGGATATAAGTCAACCAGGATCAAAGAGTCCTGTCTCTCAACTTGATTGCCTGGTAATTTTCTTTATTTGTTTGGTATTTTTGCATTGATGTAGTATAGTATTGTAGTAATAAACTTATGAATTTGTATTTCAGCAAAGAGATAACTACATTCGATCTGTGAAATTGCTACCTGATGGAAGAACTCTCATTGTGGGTGGAGAAGCAAGTAATTTGAGCATATGGGATCTTGCTTCACCTACACCTCGAATTAAGGCTGAATTAACATCTAGTGCCCCAGCATGTTATGCGTTGGCTATTAGTCCTGATTCTAAGGTATGATATAGTAGCATATCTAACTTAATTAAGTCACACTGAAAGTGTGTGTGTGTGTGTGTGTTTTTTAAACACTAAATAATATTTAATAAGAAATAATCAGTTTTCCTCTCAAAACAGTTTCTTGGGATCTTAAGTATGTGAAACAATAAATTAAAATATTATTAAACAAATTAAGAAAGAATTAATTTTGGAAGCAGGAGACATGTAGATTTAAAAAAATTGAATGTTAAAAAAAGTTAAATTATGGAAGAGAATAAAAAATAACAGTTAATATTTATGAAAGAGCAAATTTCACAATATTTGTAAATAAAAAAATCAAAAACGTTGAATATTGATTGAATTTATGAAAGTATACATATTAAAGGAATTTCCCAGAAATGCTTTCATGCTGACAAGATCTATATTTATTTTTCAGGTGTGCTTCAGTTGCTGTTCTGATGGCAATATTGCTGTATGGGACTTGCACAACCAAACTCTTGTTCGCCAATTTCAAGGGCACACTGATGGAGCATCATGTATTGACATTTCTGCTGATGGTACAAAATTGTGGACAGGAGGATTGGATAACACAGTTCGTTCCTGGGACTTGCGTGAAGGGCGACAACTTCAACAACATGATTTCACATCGCAAATATTCTCACTGGGATATTGTCCAACAGGAGAATGGCTGGCTGTTGGCATGGAGAATTCAAATGTTGAGGTTAGTTTTTGGTTTTAAATATTTAAATTTGTGTTCATTTCTCAAAAGAAATGTATTACTCATGACGTTTTTAACATATCACTGCTATAATAATGTAGTGAACAAGCGATAATAATTTAAAACGATGTTCAATTTCACTTTTGTTACTATATTGTCAAGCTTGCTGGGAATTAATTAATTGTTTAGTTACAGCTATACAAATTATATATTACATGAAGTACATTATTAAATGTATTCTAATTTATCTAATTCTCAAAGCTTAAGCTTTCCATAAATTACCATACAACAGTTCTTTTACTTTCATTAGCCCTACAACCCTTTGTGGGTTTCAAATTCGGGATATCATTCCTGACAAGTTCTTGGTCTTTCCTTCTTTCATCAACCTGTTTCTGTTCATTCCATAATTTTCTTTAGGAGGCTACTGCTATGTATTCTTTGTGTATGGTCTATCCATGGGCTTTAATAAATCATATTATATCCTTACTGTTTATTAGATTTTCAATTTTTTGGTTGGTTCTTAATCTCCAAATGCCTGGACAGTAGCACAAAGATGTGAGTGTGGGCCCACCCGCAAAAACTTTTATCCGGGTCCCCTTTATATGCATTTATAGTAAGCACAAGTCATGTTAGTAACATAAATAATAAAAGTATTCTTTTACAAAATAGTATTCATCAGCCTGTGATTTCTCCATAAGAAATCAATGTTACTAACTGATTATAGTTTTATTAATAAAAACAGTTCTTATATTGAAAACGAGTGAAGCTGGATGGCACTTCTTGCTTTTCAGGAAGCAAAAAATGTTAAAACTTTAATACCGACAATGGTGTGATCTTGCTCACATTTGCTCACTTTCACTTACATTCATAAAAATTCCAACTGAGCAAAAAGAACCATCAATTTTCACCAATGTTTGTTTCTTTAATTACCTTTTTTCCTTTTGTGATCACTACTCAGATGTTGATAACTTGTGTTAAAAGGGTGCATTTTTTAATTCTAAGATTTCTTTAAAAAATATTTTCAATATTAATTTTCTTTAAACACACATAGTACTTCAGCAACAATCTCATTCTCAAGTCGCATTAACTGAAAGAGCACTAGTCTAATGAGCAAGTGGATTCAAGTCCAGATGATGCTATCAAACCCTTAATTCTAACAGCTAATTATTGAAAAGTATTGTTAGCGATGCTCTCATCTGAGCATTATCACATGTGTTGGCTTGCTTCACACCTGCCCAACAACAATCGAAAGTCAGTTGTGTGTCAAGTTATTGTTGACAATGGTAAAGTGCTTATAACCAATTGTGTAAAATTGTTCATTTATTATTTAATTTTATAAAATCAAAACTGTTATAAAGCTTAAATGAATTGATTACTTTTATTGATGTAGAAACAGGGCTACATAAGTTATCAAAACAGAAAAATATTGTTGTTCTGGAAGATGCTGGTAAATTTTAATTTTACCAACTTTCACAAAGTATTGAAGTATGAAATAATTAATATTTCTTATGATCACAAAAACTGTCAGCCCAAAAATAGGCCCTCTTCAACCTGGGCTCGCCCACAATGCGGGCCTTGCCGGCCCAATGTTACACCACTCTCTCTGGAGTCACTCAAATTGGACCATATATTCTATGCAATAATTGTCTATCAAACATCCTAAACTGGTTGATATCTTTTTCATTGAGGGTCCAGGCTTGTGAGGCATACAATTGGACGTATTGGGGTCTTTATTCTCAACTATCTTTTGTTATTAGTATTGATCTTTACAGTTTTGAATTAGGATAATATGCTTTCTCTTCTTTATTTATTCTTTCATTAATTTCAACTTGGATTTGATTTTTCTCATTCAATAATGTGCCCAAGTAATTGAAGTTTTCCACCTACTACTTATGTATCCTATACCAATTTATTAAATAATTCTATCAACACTTGATTATGACTGTGTCATTTGCGTAGGTAATAAGCTTAGACAGTTTAAAGGTTATATTACCTCTTATGTCAGATTACCTAAAATTGAACACAAAAACTTGGACAATGCCACAATTAATCAACTGTATTTCGTGCCTTGAAATCTTTGGTGCACATTTGAATTTTGAAAACTATTTCTAAATTACTTTCAGTTAGATTGAAAATTATATTCCTATAGAACATTAACATTACTCAAAATATTTTGTAATATGAAAAGTAATTCAACTTTTTTGGAAATATATTGGTACTTGTAGTACCGTATTTCTAATACTAAGAGACTTTTTTCTTTAAATTAATTATTATCCCTTTTTCAGGTCTTGCATGCTGCGAAGCCTGACAAGTATCAACTTCATCTTCATGAATCGTGTGTGTTATCTCTGAGGTTTGCTGCCTGTGGCAAATGGTTTGTTTCTACTGGAAAGGACAATTTACTGAATGCTTGGAGGACACCTTATGGAGCCTCAATATTCCAGGTATTGTTTATTTATCGCTTAGTTGTGCGACAATTAAAAAGCTAAATAATTGAATGTAAATTAATTCTTTGAGGCTTTCTTTCACAAAGTATTTTCAAATCCTGTAACTGAATATTTATTTATATTTCAGTCAAAAGAATCATCATCTGTTCTAAGCTGCGACATTTCTGCTGATGACAAGTATATAGTGACTGGATCTGGAGACAAGAAAGCAACTGTGTATGAGGTTATCTACTGACCTCAAAGCGTGTGGTAAATGAAGGCATAAATTGTAAGAATGTGATGAAATTTTTATTTTCTTTTACTGTGATTTAGTGAGATTTCAAGATATGTGAATGAGTGATTATTCTGCAGAAGACATTAAGCTTATGAATGTTTTGTGAACAAACATTTAACTGTTCACTTACAAATAAACAAACAGTTAATAAATGAACTTAATGTGACTTGAAGTTTCCTTTAATTGAAAAGTATGAGGACACTATGAAGAAATACGGTGCCTGCTTAAAAGTTTTATGAAATGATTTTGAATATGGACTCAAGTTCATTTCATTCATGTGTTGAATAATGGTGCAAATGTTTTGAAAAAGTGCTACAGTGTGTTGACTGACTGTTCACTCACCATTCACAGAAGTTCTGAATGATACAGAGAAACTGCTTTTGTAGTGAACGACTGTGATGGAGAAATGTGAGGAGAATGAAACTCTTTAATCATATTTAAGAGATTATTTCTAGGGGCCTATTGTATAGAGAAGTTATACGGCACCACACTTTTTTGTCGTTTTATTTTCTTTGTTTAATTGTTGATATACACACAGAAATCTATTGATGTCGTAACACATTTCAAAAAATTGTCTAAATCTTTTTGCCCTTGACAGAAAATGTGTGTAGCTGTAAATGTTTTTATGAGCCCTATAACATTCACCCATTCTTAAGCTGCAACTATCTCCATGTGTTAACCCAAATCATATTTCACAGAGTGAAAGAGAATTCTATTATTATTCCTTTCTTATGTTCTTACACAGCATTATGATCAATGTGATTTCATTTTAATTACATATTTGTATACCTGAAATTAACCTTGCTGCTAGTACAGGATGTGCTTCATGAAACAAATATGAAAAAAATTAACAATGGCACACATTCATTGACAATATTTTTAAACATTCATTTGAGTTCATTTAAATTTTATTTATCATTATCAAGAATTTGGTATTGATTTTTTGTTGAACAATTTGCTCAAGGGTTTCTGTTGTGACTTATATCCTTTGTTATGTATTAAAAGGACGATTTTTAAAATACTTCATTAGAAGCATTTAGATCTTCTTATTTTTCCACCTTCTTACTGTATAGTATGCATTTTTTAAATTATGTATTCTTCATAATTATTGTTTCATCATGTAACAGGCTGTCTATTTCTGACAAAATGTATGTTATGCACATAACAGAAGATGCAGCTCATCTCAAGCATTGCACTTTTTTAATTAGTCAGCTAATGCTACAAACAATCTGCTATCCTTCTGTTATCTCGTGTATTTCATGCAAAAAATAATTTTGGTTTTCAGCAACAAAAAAGAAGTGTTTGTTTTCATAAATCTTAATAATGCTGTTGAGTTAAAATGAAACTGCGCATAATAAAATACAGTGCATTTATTTATTTGCAAACAGAAATGAAAGTTGTGTAATTATTTTGGTGAATTTTTAAGCAATTTTATGTACATTTTGCTGTTCCATCATGCTAAATATTCACATCAAGACGTGAAATTCAGGAATAATGAAATTCTTTTCAGTTTTTCTTTCCTGACTATGGTTGAAAACTGTGTTAATTGCACTTTAAAATTTGATATCGATTGAATGTGTGTTGATGTTATTAAACATCCTTTCTTATTCGTAAGAGTGTGGCCTGAAGTCAACTCTTGATTATTAAATGCAACATTAGAAATAGGTCATATATTTAGAGTATAAAAATATGTTAACTTGTTACCTATATTGAAGTTGTTGATGTTTAAAGTACTAGATACAATTATACATCATGTCATTGAAAATATGCCGTGTATTATAAAAGCATTTATGTTAAAAATTTTCTAGAGTTGCTGTACCATTTTGTACAGCATGTAGAAGAATTATGTCATATACTGTTAGCTGTTTGTTTGCCTACATAATCAAGAGTTGTCTGGTGAAATGGGCATTGATGAATTGAGTATACTTTAGTGTTTGCTTTGAATGGTTGGAGAGTACTGGCAGCACAATCTGATTTTGATGAGATATTGTGGCATTTTTGAAGTTATATGTTTGATGTGGTCTATTTTACTTCTCATCTACATGCTCTAATAATTAAATACAAGTTACTTCAGGGATTGTTGAATAGGCACCAATGGATTATTTTAATATTTAACTCAGATTAGCATAAATATGACCAATAGCAGAGCACACAACATGGTACCTCAAAAAATGCTAATGCAGTAAACCATAATTTGACAGAAGTCAATAAGAAACTTATACTTTTCTGAAAAATTCCTACTTCCCTACACACAACTTACCAATATATTTTGTTTTTACCTCTCTAGCACAGATGCTTACTGTGATATGTGTAAATATGAAAAAAGTGGCTGTAAAATAACCCAGTCACATAGTTTGCATTAAATTGTGCTATAAAGATGTTTCACAAAACAGCCTGTGATTAATTTGGATTTTTTGCACTTGTGAGCCAACAAGGAACAATATTCTACCTCACAATAATGGTATGCCATTTTTGTTAAATTTGTCCACTTGCAACTGACACAAACTATACAAATGCTACAACTTAGAAGTTTCAGAAAGAAAGTTGAAACCTTTGTCTACTCATGTTTTATACACGTTTCTGAATTTCGAAAGAAATTTAAATTGAAAACATTTTATTTGGATTATTTTAAATCCTATGCTACCTTTATTGTGTTGCAGCCACTACACTGTGTTTATGAAGTGAATTGGACAAGCAGTATTGTTGCTGCATTTCCTTTGTTATATCTTAGTGTGTCTGGAGTTGTGTGTATGGGAGCGAGCAAGTATGTTTTAAATTGCGCTGAACTATTCTTCAGTATTCTAGAAAACTTAAACTGAAAGAAGCATTGTTGACGTCAGTTCCTATAATAATTCATCTTTTTTGTATCTACTTAATATTCTCTTAGTAAAACCTCCAAAAACTTCATCTTACAAATCAAGTGGCTGAAGCATGAGTCAATTTTGTCCCATGCAAGAGTTTTTGTTTTTCAGAATTCTTAATCATTTTGTAATAATAAAATAAAAGTCACTGTTTTAGGGCAAGATATTTTTGTTGCATTGTGTAATTATAAACATAAACATTTTCTTTGTGAATAATAAAAAAAATTATACTCAATACTTCAAAATTTATTTTATTCAACCTTAATTGCCTACCTTCCTATGTGAAAAACAAAATGGTTCCTTATTATTAGGAGCATTGAGCAAGAAAGCTTTTCTTGATGTTGCTCAATTTATCTGAATAACAACAACAGCAAAGAAACACATTTTGTAAGATTTTGTTTAAATTGCACGTTATATGTTGATTTTATAATTAATGAATCTTCATTGTAGGATGTTTGTTATAACCATCTAACTTGAAATGATTGATTTATTTGACTAAAACAAGTAATTTTGAAGAATTGTCTTATTTTAATTACTCATTTTTTTAAATTTATTATACCGAAATACAAATATTCCCTGATCAAATAAGCATTCAACAACGCTACGAAATCTCTCACCCAAGAACCGAACATACAGTAAGGAGCCCTGGAAGTCTATATAAGGAAGATGTTTCATTCTTGTGATCAGCATGCACTTCTTAAGCAATTGCACCCATTGCCACTACAGCTGCACCGTTAACTAGTTGAGGCTTTTCCCCACAGTGTATCATCTATGCAATTCAGACTAAGAAAGACACAGGTCAGGCAAAAGACTACTGTTGAAAAGGAGAAGCTTACAAAATATGGCTAAGCAAAATTCCAGCTTTTCATTCCTGTTGTCATTAACAGACATGCTGGAAAGCAAAGGAAAACCTTTGACTGATCAAGGTCAAGGGTCAGTGAGACAAGAAGCCGAAGTGAAAATAAGTGCTGCTATGAGAGCCATTAGGGACAATGTAAAGTGCAAATGGGAGAGAGTCATAAAAAAAATCCTGGATATGGTGTAATGAGTCATGTAGTACAAGTTTTGGTGGAGGAGGGTGGGGAAGTTCTAGATGAATGAACATGAGAAATGTGACTAAATTTAAGTTTGCTCCCATAACTTATATTATTAGAAAGGTCCTTTTCGGTTATCAAAATGATTTTAACCAAATAGATACTTACTACCTTACTGGAGAAAATTTTAATTATATACTGGTTTGCTAATTATGAAAGCAAATAAAATAATATACATGTAGTTACTCACAAAAATTTTAATAACTTGACTTTCCTGAATAATAAAAAAACACGTAATTTAATCCTTTTATGATCGGTTTCAGATGGTGAAAACACAACTTTTCATGTCCAATGGTTTTAAATATCTGATTTAATCATTTTGTGACCTTTTTTAAGTGCCTTAAACTGATAATTTAATTCCTGATTCCTAAAATTCTGAGATCTGGTAATGACATTGATGCATTAGTAAATCTAGAATTTTTATCTTTTCTTTTGCATTATAAATTTTTAAGTGTGGAAAGATATATTGAATAGTTAAACTGGATATACAGTCACATTCTAAATTGAGTTTTCAGCCACTTTCCCTTTTTCCATTGAACTAATTGTTAACATCAGAGTTGGATCTGGGGGTAGTCTGAATGTGCTTCTCACCTAGGACCTTTTTTGGGGGCCCCAAAAAAGGAAGGGGAGAGGGAATAAAAAAATGATCAATGCAAAAGTGTTTCAATCGAAAAGAAAATTTTAAAAATTAAGAATTATTAAACTTTAAATAGTTTATCACAATATTGTAAGATTTCATTTTTATAAAAATGATCTGTTTATTAAGAACATTTTAATTACAGCAATTTAAGAAATAATAGCAAAATTCAAAAATGTATTAAATGTTCAACTAATAGTGGAGAAAAATTTAATAAAATAACTGCAATACTGAAGACAATAAATGATTAAAATTTTACAATTTTGGTAGTTCTTTTAGTGAAAAAGGGTTCTCATCAAACTCCTCAAGGGCAATACTGTGTAAACGCACAGGCCCAACGGTCCCGGATCAAGGCCCCCCATATTTCTTAAAAAAATTATTGAATACTAAATTTTTCAAAAAAATTAATTGAATACCATATACAAAATTATGGATGATTCAACTATTCGCAACAAAATTGTCATAACGGAGCGATGTGTCATGCATCAATGGATAATATTTATAACTAGCGGAACCGGCAGACTGTGCTCTCTTCTCTTCCTCTCCTTCTTTCTGTCTCTCTCGTTTTCTCTCTTTGTCTGCCTGTCTTTCTTTGTTTCTTCGTATCTATGATTCTGTCTCTCTTTGCCTTCCTGTTTCCCTGTCTCTACCACGCTGCCCGCTTGTGCTCTCCTGGGCCTCGCCCTGCGTGACACGGCAACGCCCAGCAACAATGAAGTTCCGGTAAACCTCAGTTGGAATGGAAGTTGAATTACAACGAAGCGCGATCTTATGCTGCAGCGCCATCTAGGGAGTTCTCCGTGACCGCACAGGAACCTTCTCCGTGATGTGTGTGAATATATATCGAAGACACTGGGATTAAACAAAACAAAATAAATAATTATATATTATATATATAAATATATACTATTATATATATAATATATATTATATATATATATATATATATATAGAAGAGAAGAGAGAAGGGAGAGACGGAGAAAGAGAGAGAGAGAGAGACATATATATATATATATATATATATATATTATATATATATATAATATATGATATATAATATATATACTATTATATGAGTTGTTGTATGAAGAGAAGAAGAGAGGGGGGAGGGAGGGAAAGAGAGAGAGATATTATATTTCGTAGTGAAATGGCCACAGTTATGTCCAACGGAGTTCAGTGTTAGTGAAAGCATTAACGAGTGTTTTGCTAATTATTTTAGGTATAGATATTATAGTAGACGAAACGAGTGATGTGAAGTCAATCTCTCAACTTATTTTATTTAGGTACTTGGTAAATTTGAAACCTGTTGAGAGATTCTGGGGATTTGTTAACCCTGAAGGAAATACTGCTAATTCATTAGCTGCATGTATATTATCCGAGCTGCAACATCACTTTGAAGGATGCGAAAATAAAGCCATAGCGCAAACTTACGACGGAGCTTTTGTGATGTCTGGTTCAAAATACAGAGTGCAAGCGATTATAAAACAAAAACACAAGCTTGCTGAATATGTTAATTGCTATTCACATCAATCATATGTAGTCTTGTTAAAAGCAGCTTATGTGACTAAACGTGTTTGAATCTTTTTTTAATCAAGGTCTCTGCTCTTTCTTTTCCAACTCCCCACAAAGAATATCTATCTGAGAGGAAATAGTCCAAAAACGTTCACCAAGATCAATTCCTACTAGATGGAACTTTCATTCAAAATCTGTGATTACTATTTTCGAGTGTAGAGAGGAGTTGATAGAATGTATAAAACAGATTAAACAAGTGGAAAAAATGAGCTGTAATCTGTGTCTCAGGCTTCTGGATTCATTGCTGTCTTAATAGATGAAACTTTCATATTTTGGTTGCCTTTCTATAAAGTCATGCCACATGTTGACATTTTGTTCAGGCAACTTTAGCGGCGAGATTGTACACCATCACTTGTTGTTTCATAAAGAATTTGAGTTGGAAATTATGAAAATCAGAAGCAACATAAATATTACACTAGCTGATGAGGAAGCACTGAAAAAAAGAAAATTAGAGAAGACAGCAAGAAAAAGAGAAGCCCTAGAAGTATGTGATGTCACGCTAACGGAAACCCAACGCAGATTTAGTTATGTTGCACTCTTAGAGTGGTGTTATTTTTACTGACTAAGTTTGCAAAGTATGAGCGTGAGTTTCCAGATGAGATTTTGAAAGCTACTCTTGAAGCATATGCATTTATTGAGAAAAAACGCACATTCAATAATAAAACAACGCTACTTTCAATAATCTATAGTACACAAAAATTCAGGAATATATATGGGGCTTCTCCACTAATGGAAAAAATCAGAGACAATAAAATAGGTTCTACTTCCAATGAATCTGTTAAACTGCTTAGTATGGTTCTCACCATTTCCATGACAACATGTGAAGCAGAATCTTGTTTCTCCAGTCTAAAAAGGATTAAAACTTTCCTGCCCAACACAATGACAGAAGATACATTATGTGCTCTTGTGATGCTTTCCGTTGAGCGTGACTACATCATCAAAACTGCAGACTTTAATGAAAGAGTAATAACAAAATTTATCACGAGCAAGGAAAGGCGGGCCGACGTCTTTTACAAACAGTTAAGTATACCAGTATCGGCTTCAGAGCCCCCCCCATGCCATTATTCCGTAAACCACCAACTTTTTAGGGCACGAGCCGCCACTGCTTGGACTTGTACAAAGACTTGTCAATCGAAGAATATGTTTTCAGGCGCACTGGAATTTCGTTTAACTCAACTCGATAACGACATATTTTATATCGATAAACTAAATGGAAGACTAAGACGTTCCATACTTTTCTACTGTAGCTTGTGCTGGAAGAAGACTTTGTCCCTCGTAATGTTCTTACGGCAGTGTTTTCATCATTATCATAGTTATTTGTAATGTTGGTTTTAAATTATTGAACCAAAAATATTATTTGAATCTTAAATCTTATATCTTCATCCTGGTACATGGTATCCTCATTAAAATCCTGGTAAAAATACCACAAAACAACACTGTTGCAGTGCCTCTGATCGGGAGGTTCTAGGGTTCCACTCCCCATGGCGGCACAATTTTCAACAAAAACTTGTCAGCTAGGTCGCATTCAGGCGCTGTTTAGAGGAAAATTCTAGCGGCCGGCGGCTCTGATCGGTAGTTTAGCGCGGTTCCTCCCACAGCCACAAATCCCGAAGCAGTACCCTAACAAACGCGTCACGGACCGTGCGCGATCTATCCTTCTTCTTCTTTGTCCTATCCTCACCCATTACTTACATATACTTACACTAACATGCACTACACTTCCACACATGCCGGAGACCGGTCGGAAGATTCGAGCTAGTCCCGGTTGGGGCGGTGCCCCGCTGGTGGTACTTGGTGAGGGGAAAACCCAGCTAGCCGACGATATGTCGGCACTGGATTTCGCCATCCAGCGGAGGAATATCACCGTCTCCTCCCGAAGGAAAAACATGCATCACACTCACGGGACTAATGTCCTTAGCAATTGACGTACTCGGAATCACTAACAAACAATCAATCAACATACAATGTAGGCTTTCACGGCCTTCAAGCCCGGAAACAACTGATTTTGATAAACAATCAATCAATCCACTCCAATGAAGTCGCCATTCTCCATTCTCCGAAGGCGCTTCCCATGCTCGGCCGACACGGTCCGACCAGAGGTGCCCGCCATCGGCCTACGTATATACGGAGTAATATACGTAGTAGGGAATGTTATATAATGCTGTGGAGAATCAATTTTGAGATTTCAACGGAAGTACACGTTTTGGGGTCTCCTAATACCGAATTTTTTTATTTTTTTCTCCAAAATGTCCGTCCGTCCGCCTACACTACTAGCGCCTAAACTACAAGTAGGGTTTTTTTCCAAAATGGATATTCCCCGGTCGATCTGGCTCAACTCGAAGCATTGCGATTTTGAAAAACTTTCTTCAAAATTTGGGGGTACTTTACATGAAGCCCTCCGGACATGTTCAAAATTCTCTCAAAAACGGCTCCAAATGTTTTCTTTCAATTTCTTGTAAGAATATAGTAAAATACACTAATAAAGGTGGCATAGATCCGATTTTCACGGTTAACTCTGAATTTTTGAAAACTTGAAAATTTCAAATTTATTCGAACGTCTTCTTACAACTACAAAATTAAAGATGGAGATTTTTCCCTGAAATAAAATTTGATCTCCATAGTGAGTTTTTCATTAAGGTCCTGTAGAGTTTTGTGAAAGTTTTAATAGTTTTCGCGCAATATTGCCAGCAATATGAGCAATTTTAAAAAAATACCAAAACATGATTTTCTCAAAAATGGTTTCAAATTTTTTCTTTAACCTTTTAATAGTGATAGTGCTAAATGTGCTCTATAAGGTGACATAAACGCCTTGTTGGTCGGTTGGTCTATTCTTTTAATTTTTTCAAAAATAACAAAATTTAATTTTTTGTCTTTTCTCTCACGTTGTTCATATTTTAGCTGCAATTTGTTCACATTATTATATTTTTGAGCACATGTTCTTTAAATAATGCCCCATAAAGTTTCTCAAAAACTCAACAGTTTTCTGTGAAAATAAGTTCAAATTTCCACATTTTCAGAACTGCTCAAACGCCATTTTTTAATAAAATGGCTCCAATTTTTTTCTAACTTTTCTAACGGACAGTGTTAATTGCACTCTATAATATCACCTAAAGTTAATTTCGGAGTATGTTTTGTTTTTCAGAAATTACACACATGTAATTTTTTAAAAGATATGTCACACCATTAATATGCACATTTCCAGCAATTTGTAAACACTATTATATTTGTGAGTTAATGACTTTAAATGAAGATTTGCAAAAACAAAAATTTTCTGTGAAAAAATGCTACAAATTTTGATTTTACAGTAGCGCTTAAACGCCAGGTTTTTTAAAAACGGCTCCAAATTTTTCAAAAATAATTGCCATTTAGGACGACTTTTTATTGGTCTTTAATGTTTTAAAAATAATATTTCGGTTCTTCTATTAGGAAAACGAAAAATTAAGAATATTTAAAAAAATTCCAAAAAATAAGAATGTTTTTTAAAAAATTAAGAAAATTTCAAACAAATGTATTTTGGGCGGCGATAGATGGCAGCTGGTAAGAGTATTCGTATGTGGCAAGTCCGAGCAGCTAGCTGAGACCAGAGGAAATAGAAAAGTAATACGTGAAAGTCTGCGCCATTTGTACGATCACTAGTTTTTGTTACATTTATTTCAACGCCGATATTCTAAATGAAAGGAAATATTCCTAGATATAGTCCGAAAAAAAGTCAATATCACATTCAGACAAGTTCATATCCTTAATATTCAGGGAACTAACAAGTATACGCATTTGAAGTTATGACACAGTAATGCATTATTAATCAAAACAATTTAAGTAGCAGTTAGTCGTGTGAGTTTGAAAGAAGCGGGCGAAAATCTATTGCCAATGGAGCAGGTGCGAACGGTAGTGATTGGATGTAGAATGCAATAAAACATCTTAGTGGAGGAACCAGAGAGTTTAGAGAGCAACTATAACAAAACGAACATTCAACTAATTGATTTGCATCTATGTAATTTATGCCGCTATGTATTAATATTTTTTTAATGAGTGCATTTTAATGCCGGCGAGCCTCCTGACTTATGCATTTGATTTTAGTTTGATTACTGATATTATAAATATTATAGATGTTAAGTTTTCATATTTTTCAGGATCTTTTTTTCTGTTGGATATTTGCATTCCATAAATTTTGACTGCAGCCTGACTTTACGCCCACACTGGAGTTTTCAAGATTTACCCGTGATCTAACATGACGTCGAAGAGATGGGCAATGTGTGTGTTGCATAGGTTATAACAGGTGCCAGTATGCACTGCGAAATGATAACGTTTATTACGCGATTTGTGTATGATGGAAAAGAAGCAGACTCAAATCACCACACAGTATACGTTAACTCCACGCCGCATACCTCCTCAAAATATTGTGAATCGTTTGTGTAAACGAGAAACTTTTGGGTGTGTGAAACCTGGCACTCATTTCCACGTCGCTAGAAAATTTCATCAAAACGTGTTCCCGAATTTCACTATTATTAACGTAGAAAAACCACCTTGTTTCCTTAGAAAATTTAGCCCAGATGGTCACCATTTTATTGCATTTTCTTCAGATCAAACTTCTCTGGAAATATATGAATATCAAGGGTCCGCTGCTGCAGCTGATCTTATTGAAGGTGCCAAAGGAGAATATATTGGAAATAGAAATGATAGACGCAGTGAAACTGTTCGTGGCAAAGTGTTTGAACGATTTTTCAAGCTTAAGTATACTGTTAATGTTGCACAAAGTGGAGAACAGCTCAATAGGGAATGTAGCTTGTTCACTGATGATGGACGTTATGTTATTATTGGTTCTGCAGCTTACATTCCAGATGAATTACATCCCCAGTTCTATGAAATATATACAAACAATGAAGCGGTGACACCTAATCCAAGGTCTCCCCTTGAAGATTATTCTCTGCATTTAGTAGATCTTCAGGCTGGAAGACTTTGTGACACAAGAAATTTTAAAGCTGATAAAATATTTCTGTCTCATAACCAAGGACTGTACTTGTATAAAGACACACTGGCTGTGCTCTCTGTTCAACATCAAACCATTCATATATTTCAAGTTGTTGATGGTCTTCTTTTGAATGTACATTGTATTGGACGCTTTTGCTATGAAGATGATGAATTTATTCTTTCTTCTAGTCTTTCTCCTCAGTCCGGGTCCCATACATACAGACCATTCAGTGAGGTTACAATCAATTCTTTGAAGCACAGACTTCTTGTTTTTCTATTTAATAGAGCCAAGAACATATCAGAAAGAACAAATCATCCTTTTGAATTGAGAAAATTCTATCAGTATTTCGATCAGGTAATACTCTTTAATGTTTTGGATTTGAGATAAATCATGTTGAATAATTTAACTAACTTTGCAAACTTCTATTTTGAATGAAGTTAGTGATTTTGTAAATGTTAGTGAATCCAGCATTAACCTGTAAGATTTATTTAAAAATACAGTACATATCATACAAATATGTTGAATGTGGTAGAAACAATGAATTCAATGTACCATTTGATTGATTTCTTTTAGTTTAAGTCATTACGTATGTGGAAGATGCAGCTATTAGATGAAAATCACTTGCTCATTAAATATGCTAGTGATGATGTTGTGACTCTACGAGCAACTGAACCCAACTCCCAACCTTCATTTTTTGTGGTTTATAACATATTCAGTGCTAAAGTACTTGCTGTGTATGAAAATACTTCTGAAGAACTTTTGGAGTTGTTTGAGAATTGTTGTGATTTGTTCAGAAATGCAAAATTGCATTCAGAATCACAGTTCACTTGTTCACCTTCAAACAACATGTATGCAAGGTGAGACATATTTTTCAAAATTTACTTTGTCGGTAAATGTGCATTTAAGTGTCTTAATTTTTATATTTTTTGTAGACTGATTCAACGACGCTTCAAGCAAACTATTGTAAGTGCTAGATTTGGAGGCCCCACAGAAGCTACAAAAAGGCTTTTGGCACAGTTACCCATTAGTGCCCAATCGTATAGTAGTTCTCCGTACCTTGACCTGTCATTGTTTAGTTATGATGACAAATGGGTCTCTGTTATGGAACGTCCTAAAGCTTGTGGAGAACATCCTATCAGGTTAGTTAATAAATTTCAGAAGAATCTTTCATACAAACATTTTATAGTAAATGATAATACTACTACATTATGTTTTCTGCAGGTTCTATGCTCGTGATTCAGGTTTGCTCAAATTTCGCATCTATGCTGGTGTACTTGGGAAAAGTCCACCTCCTTTGGCACGTAGACTTGTTGCTTTCACATTCCATCCGACAGACCCTTTTGCAATAAGTGTCCAGAGAACAAATGCAGAATATGTTGTAAATTTTCATGTCAGGCATGCATAACAGAAAGGTAACAGTATTTATTGAAGTGGAATTTTTAATGTTGTATGCCAGTTCACTGTTGGTAAATATTTTTTTACTACTTAATGGAGCGTATCCATCTTGATATATGTGCAAATTGACCCTAAAGTTCAAGAAGAGAAAAGTCATAAATGTTTGTTTCTTGGAGAATGTAGATTTGAATTTTGGAAAGTATGTTAATTACGTGAGTCACTCTGGTAGTTAATCACTCCTGGGTGTTGACAATAATTGTTAAAATATCATGTACTGGCTTCCAGATGTTGTGCTAGTTGTTTTTCTGTTAATGCTCTTATTTTCAACGTGTTTGTTAAATAACAGTACAAGTGTGTGAAATGCAATAAAAGTGTGATACTCAATGAAAAGTTATCTTAATTGTTGATAATTTGTGAACTAAGTTTAAGAAAATTAAATGAAAAAATTTGTGTACAATTATTATGTCAGTGTTTTCTGCTCATGATTGTATTAGCTAATTTGATGTGATGAAAATAAAACAGTTTTTTTTGTTTTACTGTTAAATATAAACCTATCACATGTATTATTGTATTTTTAGTCATTAATTGTGTAGGAACAGTATCCTTGATAGTATTTAAACCAAAGATGATCTGTTTCAGATATGCAGTATTTATTTGTAACAAGATCACAAGACTTGGACAATTACATCTCAGAAAATGTGTTTTTCTTCTTCTTCATAGGCCATAGGCACGTTCCATTCTTTGGATATAAAAACTTTCATGACATCATTGCCTTGGTCTTCTGTAATATCTTCTTCCTACAGGTCTAGTATCTCTTTGAATTCTATCTTCATTCATTCTATCAATGTGTTGATTCCATTCTCTCATATGTGATATTATCCTTTCGGAAATTGGACTAATTCCACATGGTCTAATGTTATCATATCTTTCTCTATCAAAGTAATTTTTGTTTAAAATTTTCCTCGTCACACACTTTCTGCCAGTTCTAGCTGGTGTTGCAATGCTTTTTGTTTCACCTCATGTCTTTGTTGTATATGTTACAATCGGTCTAACTACTGATTTATGTATTCTTACTTGTGTGTCTTGTCTCCTTGAAATATTTATTGTACCACACTGAGTAATTTAAGCAACTGAAAATTCTGTTTCCTTTCATGACTTGTTCTTTTACCTCCTTCTTCATCTATCCTGAATTTGTGATCACTATCCCAAAGTATTTAGTTTCCTAATACTTGCTTTATTGGTTGATCATTTACCACAAGCTTACATTGAAAAGGATCTTTTGCTGTTGCCATACTTTTAGGTTCTTGGATGGAGATCGTCAATTAACAGTTTGTGCAGATTTGATTAAATTCAAAACGGGGAAACTGTAGGTCATCGTCATTTTTGGTTACCAATACTGCATCATCCATATTACAAATTATGTTAATGTTATATTACCCCATTCTGTATTTTTTTTTATTTTTTTTGTATTAAGCTGATTGATTATCTTGTTCATTACTGGATTAAATAGTAAAGGACTTAAGGAGTCCACCTGTCTGATCCCTTTTGATATGGTGATAGGAGAGGATAATATTCCATTATCCTCAAAAATGGTCTTGTGTTTGAAAATTAATGTGAATATACTATTTCAAGAAATTCTGGTGCCAATCTAGTTGTCTTAAGATTGCTCATGTAAATTATATGGCTCTGAAATGTCTATTAACCCAGTTGGAATATATTTTGTTATATATTTTTCATCTATTACTTAAGATTTCTTTTTTTCTTAGATTTTAAGTCTTAGTTTCTCAAAGTACCCATTCCTACTACTGCCTGTTTTTTGTCATCTTTGTGTGCTCCTCTCCAGTCCGTCCTGAACATTCTGTTGATCAGCATCTTCCCATTGCTTCTTGGATATGTAATCAACTGGTCTATTCTTGTATGACACCTGCAAAACTTGCTTTAGTAGTCTGCAGTCTTCCATTCACATAATGTGTTCATCTATTCCAGTTTTCCCTACTTAATTATAGTGACCTGTTCAGATCTCATTATACACCATATAATTCAGTATATTTTGTAATTTTCTATACTATTTTCACCTTTTGGTCCACTGGTCTCTCTTAGGATTTTCCTTTTGAATACATTTAGTACTTTTTTAGGAGTAACTGTCATGACTGAAATTTCTAAGCCCTTGAAATATAATTTTTTTGTCTTGTTAAAACATCTTAAAGTCAATTGATATTTGTGTGATTGGCCCTTGGTAGCAATGCGTTGCAGACACGTCAGGATGGGAAAATATTAGTTATCTTTTTTGTTGTTGCAGTTGTTTCAACTAATAAAAAATGAAGTGTTTCAAGGATGTAGCTTGGCTGTTCTTTGAATTGTCCTTTCTAAATTGTTGCTTCTGTTTGTCCTCTCAGATTGCAATTTATTAGATTGATTGGATAGTACAAATGCTAGTAGGCCAAGACGGAAAAGTAAATCACTGTTTCAAAAAATCTTATTGATTCATAACATATGTCTTTGGTAAATGATTTTACTTCAGGATTGTCAGATTACATATGTGCAAAATATTTTTGGGATTCTTATAAAAATGCTGCAATTGTGTGAGTCATTGTCGATACTTAATTCTTAATATTTATTTATCCAGTTCAATCCTTTAACTTTCCTTAATCCCTTTTTGTCATAGAACAATAAATTTTCAGAGATAAGAGATGGGAAGTTTTTTGTTGTTGTTGTTTTTTTTTTTTTTTCCCCAAATTTAATGATAGCACTCCAACTTTACGCTATAACAGTGTTTTGTTGTATATTTCAGGGGTACATCCCGAGACAAATTTTGGGGGGGAATGATAAACAACATAAATTACTTATCATAAAATGCTTTTAACAAAATTGAAATATTAAGTTTTATATTTAATGAATACTTTATAGTATAAAATTAAACTAGTAGTACTAAAAAATTTTGAGCCGGTTTTACGAAAATGTCGTTTAAGCGTTACTGTGAATTTGAAGCTCCTTTTCACACAGATCTTTCAAGTTTTTGAAAAACTTTATTAGACGTCATTTGAAACGCTTCCACTTACAAATCTAATAGTGTATTCAAATTCCTGGAAACATTCATATTAACGGCTTGAGAGATATTTTAAAACAAATTACATTTGTGTAATTTTTGAATAAACAGAAGGATGCAGCAAAATTAATTTTATATCATCTTAAACCTTGCATTTAGCAGTATTTGTACAAAAATTTTGAAGAAAAAATATGGAGTCATTTTTGAGAAAATTTGTGTTTGTTATTTTTTTAAATTGAATATATTGCTCACAATATCAAGAGAAAACTACAAAAACTTTTAAAAAATGTACACGACGTTAATGAAAGAACTGACTACAAAGAAAAACATTTACTTGAAGGAAAAATCTCTATCTTCAATGTAATAGTTGGAAAAAGAAATCAATCTTGAAATTTTCGAAAATTCAGAGTTAACAGTGAGAATCTAACCAATACCATTTTATATGTGTATTTTATTCTATACTTTCAAAAAAATTAAAGAAACCATTTGAAGCCAATTTTGAGAAAATTTTGAAATGTCCCAGCTGCTTTATGTTAAGTACCCGCAAATTTTAAAGAAAGTTTTTCAAAATCATGGCACGTCGAGTTGAGCCAGATCGGCTGGGGAATATCCATTTTGAAAAAATAATCCTAGTATAATTTAGGCGTTAGTGGTGTTCCGAGATGGACGGAGATTTTGCCGTCAATTGATTTTTCGGTATCAAGGACTCACAAAACATGGATTCTGGCTACACCACGGGTTAGAGGATTTTTCTCTTAATTTAGCATTTGGATTTATTTCCTTCTTCGTTAACATGGTCCAGCAATAAGAGTTTTTCTGCCAGAAATTCGCAATTTTTTCGCGCTGCATTACGTAACTTTCTCTCTACTGCGTAGAAGATAGCTAGAAAGTAATAGTAATGATTTGTTATTGCAATCGTTGAACTCATAGCCGCAAAATGTCGAAGTATTAGGGTATTAAATTCTTCATTCTATGATACAGATATAAACAGATTAAATATAAATTAAAACGCATTTTACAAATTAAACATCACACTCATACAAACATTATTCTCCAAGAATGAAGAAAGTCGACAGGATTACACAAAATATACCTCAAGCTTCCTCTATTTATTAGATTTCTTTCTCTTTTCTAATTTTCCATCTTAGATCTTTTCTTTCTCGTCTTAAGTATTTATTTGCGCCAGAGGCGCATCTAGCCGATCGTTTTGTAGGGGGCCATCGTAGACTTTTTGTCAAATATTTGTTTTATATATTATTTTTGTAGTGTATATATGATACTATACAATATTTTTTTAAATAAATAATTATAATATAAATAAATATTTAAATTAATTTTCTCCAAATAAAAGAAGGTGACAAACAAAAACTCAAGGACTTTCAGGTGGGGGAATCCCCCCTCGTGAATCCGTCACTGATTACCGCGGCGTCTTTAGGCGCATGTAAGCGATGCCACATTCTTGTTTCGGGCACGCTGAAATAGCGTGAAAAGTCACAGCGGCCCACGATCACTCACTTGGCACCTGGAGACTGACCGTACTCCAACATTGTTTCCGGATGCCAGTCCAGTAATGGGAAGTGGCCGTAGCCGCGCTTGTCAAGAGGAGTAAAAAGAAGATATGAGCTGCCACATACCTTTGGAGAACAGTCGTAGACATTGTCCTTGCATATCACTGAGCTAAAATACAGCGACAATCAGGATTCTCATTCGTAACAAAAATGCTAAGGACAGAATGGGCGATTGCTTTATCGATTCATTTTCGACGTTTCTACAATTTTTTCTTGTGTTTCTCATTTTTATCCTTCCTGCACTTTGACCATTTTGCTTCTTTGCTTTTACCAAGTGCTTGGGTTACGAATTTGAATTTGTTTTGATAACAAATTTTACGTCATTTTTCTTTGCTTTTAGGACATGTTTTTTATTTATCATTTTTGGAGAGGTTTTAGGTAATAAAAAAAATCTTGCTGCGATACGATTTTATTCGTTTTAATGATTATCCGCAAATATTATTGCTTGAAAGTTTCGGGAAAGTTAAAATTAATGGATACTGAAAAATTTGGAGGGGGGATGTGCGCCCGAATATTTAAATGATACGGAAAAAATTGCAAATTATACCAGTAGTTCGCATGAGGCGCGCCTCCCGATACCGATGCGTTAGACCGGAAGAGGAGGCTCAGGGCATCAACTGATGTCACTGCAGTGCCTGATCGGGAAGTCTTGGGGTTCGAGTCTCGACGGTGGCAGGGTTTGCCACACTAGCCAGATAGTGTCGGTCAAGTTCCATCCAGTAAGGAGGAGAATCCTAGCGGCCGGCTGGTGTGATCGGTAGTTTTCCGTGGTTTCTCCAATTAATATCAGGCGAATGCCAGAGCAGAACCTTACCAAACATGCCACGTGCGATCTTTCCTTCCCATTCTTTGTCTTACCCAGCCCCTTACTTGCACTACACTAACACACATGCCGGAAGACCGGTCGGGAGCCTAGAGCTTGTCCTGTCTGGGATCGCTAGTGGGAAATTTCCCTAGTTAGGGAAAACCTCGCTAGGCACCGGATCTCACCATCCAGCGGGGCAAGATCACCGCCATCTCCCGAGCAA